AGGAGACGCTGGCATAAGTCCCGCTATAACAGGTGCTAATGGAATGCAGCAGGAAATGGAACCTGGACCAGTGATTGGAGGAGACGCTGGCATAAGTCCCGCTATAACAGGTGCTAATGGAATGCAGCAGGAAATGGAAGAGCCTGGACCACTGATTGGAGGAGAAGCTGGCATAAGTCCACTGATCAAAGGAAATGCCGGTATAAGACCAACAATGAGAGGTCCGAGTCTGGTAGTTGGGGGAAATGCTGGTATAAGACCGCGCTAAAACGAGGAGCAACTCGATGATGGGTCTGTAGATTCAAACAATTATACAACTTCCAAAGTTTGATTCTGGTGCACGTGTGTATCTGTTGATGTTTAATATCTTCTCTATTATTGAATAGTTAACTCCGCTTGTAAGGTTTAACGACACTGCAAGGTATTGGAATTGCAGCTACTGTTTACGTTATTGGAAAGATTCCACTGAAAACCCGATCCTTACTTAATTATTCATATCTTTGGCTTGTTATGCTTTTATGCGTGCAACTCTAATCTATCGTCATGCGGGACTAATATTGTAATTCGCTTAATTTGTATAAAAGTTTGTACAAGCTAAAAAACAATTTACAACTTTACATCTAAACTTGTATCCATTGTTTGTTACCTTATATACTATTAATAATTGATAACAAACTTATGATATATTTAGTGATCGTGGTGATATCCACACAGCGTCCTTTTTTAGATCTAGTCAGTCCCCACGATTCGTGGGGTAGAAAAGAAAGTTTCATCTATCTAGGCGTAATAGAGTTCTACGACGTTAGTATAAAGCCGAGGTGATGCTGTTAATTTATATAGATGGAACGTTTTATTAATGTTCACAGTCAGGAGTAGGTTAATGCGAAGTGCTAATCCTAAAATTTGTCAAAACTTGTGGAAGGCATGTTGCGCTTTTTTATTTCACAACGTCCAGTGATCAGCTACACAAAGACTTTTTGTTTTGAAGGTGGACTACTAATGTTTCCGACATCGTTGCAGTCCACCATAGTGACAACTTCCAGCAGTTAGTGATATTAGGTTGCGTAGGTTAGATATCAGGTTTAGTGTATGTAATGAACGACTTTGGAGCATTTAGATTAGATCTGTCTAGCGTAGCTAGCTTTCATTAAGCGCCCAGATTGTTTTATGCGTTTTTTGGTTCACGAGTTATCCAGTCATTCCGCGAACAAAAGCCATTTTGAAAATTTTGATGAATTATTGAAATCTGAAATCACACTTTTTGAAACTATACATGTCTGTTTGCTGATTTGCATTGTCATGAGATTCCAGACAAAAAAATATATCTATGTTACACTAGCTTACATACTCCGCATCTACTATTGGCCATCATACTCTTGCCCAGCAAGTTAACACACACCTTCCCCTCAACTGCTAGTAGCCAATGCAAAAAATAACAAAAAAATCACTGAATTTAAAAAAATGATATCAAATTCCAAATGACACCATAATCGTAGTCAGCATCATACAATAGCGCACTGATTTCCAACACCTCGGAGCCAAAGTTTTAGATATCGGTAAGTAAAAGTACTCGATGATTCAATTGATTAGATCTGTAAAATTTGACGAAATTTGCGGAAGGCATGTGCGCTCTAACGTCCAGTGATCACTACACAAGAGCGTCCTTCATTTAAAGTGGATTTCCAAACGATTTCGAGATTATTGCAGACCACCCAATATCCTCTAGCAGTATTATGTTACACTGCAAGCTTTAGTTGATTGTATGTAATGAACGACTTTAGCAGGGCTAGTTTTGAGTGCTCGTATGCGTTGCTTGGTCCCAAAGCTAACAATTTCGTACCCTCATTTCGAAAACTTTACTGAATTGTGAGGAAACTAAAACCATATTCTTTAAAACTTTATTGCCCAATTGCTGATTTGCATTTCTGATGACCTTCCAAATGAATCACACATTATGAGCCACTAGTTGTCACACTAGCTTGCATACCTCGCTACGGCCATTGGCTGTCATTTACATAATTGCTAGTAGCCCAGGGTAAAAAAACAACAAGAACAATGGGTTGAAAATGCAGTCATGCTGTCCTAATATCTCGTAGTCAGCATAAACCTACCTTAGCGCATCAATATCCAACACCCAAGAGCAAAAAGTACCAAAAATCGATAAGTGACAGTCAATAATTCAATACTATTATAAGTTGGCACCAATTTGCAGCGCCCTAAAGCGAAAATATGAAAGAATCAAAGATCGTGGGAGTCAATCGATAAGTGTTCGAGCGCTTTTGGAGTCTTAATCGGCATGTTAGCTAACCCCGGTATGCCAGATCACCAGCCTAAGGCGAGAAGTGCAAAAAATCCATAAATCGATAAGATAAGCATGATAGGGCCTTTCTTTATATTACGCTAATTATGCGCTGCAATGGTCAAAACCGCGAAGTTGTTGAAAAAGTGGTCCGGTATCCACGTTGTAATA